AGCATGACTTACCCTTGGTGAAGCCATGTTGGCTATTCATGATCACCTTCCTCTCCTCCAAGTGTTTCAAAATGGGATTCCTTGAGGATCTGCTCTAAGTTTTTTCCACTGACTGAGGGAGGCCGTCTGGTCTGTAGTTCCTCAGATCCTCCTTCTTCCCCTTTTAAAAAATGGGCCCTATATTTGCTTTTTTCCAATCATCAAGGTCCTCCTCTGATCACCATAAGAACATAAGAACGGCCGTACTGGGTCAGACCAAAGGTCCATCTAGCCCAGTAGCCCGTCTGCCGACAGTGGCCAACACCAGGTGCCACAGAGACGGTGGACCGAAGACAATGATCAAGCAATTTGTCTCCTGCCATCCTTCTGCAGCCTCTGACGAACAGAGGCCAGGGACACCATTTCTATCCCCTGGCTAATAGCCTTTTATGGACCTAACCTCCATGAAATTATCTAACTTCTCTTTAAGTTTTCAGAGATAATGGCCAACGGCTCTGCAGTCACACCAGCAAACTGACCCAGCACTCTCAAATGCATTGTGTCTGGCCCCATGAACTTGAGCATATCCTGCTTTTCTTAACCTGTTCTTTCATCACTGAGGGCTGCTCACTTCCTTCCCATACTGTGTGCCCTGTGCAATAGTCTGAGAACTGTCTTTGTCGGTGAAGGCCGACAGAGAAAAAAAAAAAGCATTGACTACTTCAGCTTTTTCCATACCATCTGTTATTAGGTTGCCTCCCCCCCATTCAGTAAGGGTATGTCTACACTACCCCGCTAGTTCGAACTAGCGGGGTAATGTAGGCATACCGCACTTGCAAATGAAGCCCGGGATTTGAATTTCCCGGGCTTCATTTGCATAAGCCGGGCGCCGCCATTTTTAAATCCCGGCTGGTTCGAACCCCGTGCCGCGCGGCTACACGCGGCACGAACTAGGTAGTTCGCGTGGAATGAGGAGTAACGGTAGTTCGAACTAGGAAGCCTAGTTTGAAAATGTAGGCATACCGCACTTGCAAATGAAGCCCGGGATTTGAATTTCCCGGGCTTCATTTGCATAAGCCGGGCACCGCCATTTTTAAATCCCGGCTGGTTCGAACCACGTGCCGTGCGGCTACAAGCGGCACAAACTAGGTAGTTCGAACTAGGCTTCCTCATTCCATGAGGAGTAACGGTAGTTCGAACTAGGAAGCCTAGTTTGAACTCCCTAGTTCGTGCCGCGTGTAGCCACGCGGCACGGGGTTCGAACCAGCCGGGATTTAAAAATGGCGGTGCCCGGCTTATGCAAATGAAGCCCGGGAAATTCAAATCCCGGGCTTCATTTGCAAGTGCGGTATGCCTACATTATCCTCCTAGTTCGAATTAGGAGGGTAGTGTAGACATACCCTAAGAATCCTACACTTTATCTTCTTCTTATTGCTAACATACCTGCAGAAACCATTCTTCATATCTCTTGCTAGCTGCAACTCCAGTTGCATTTTGGCCTTCCTGATAACACCTTCCATGGTCGAGCAATGTTTTTATACTTCTCCCTACTCAGCTGTCCAAGTTCCTATTTTTGTAAGCTTTTTTTGTGTGTTTAAGCTCACTGAAGATGTATCTGGTAAGCCAAGTTATTGACCTTCCATATTTATTATTGTTTCTGTACATCAGGGTAGTACGTTCCTGGGTCCTCTATAAGGTTTCTTTAAAATATAGACTGCTGTCCTGGACCCTTTTGCCCTCATATTAACATCCCAGGAGATTCTGCCCTTCATTTCCCCAAAGGAATCAAAGTCTGCTTTTCTGAAGTCCAAGGTCCACATTCTGCTGCTCTCCTTTCCTCCTTTTGTCAGGATCCTGAACTCAACCATCTCATGGTCACTGCTGCCCAGGTTGCTACCCACTTCTACTTCCTCCATGAATTCTTCCCTGTTTGTGAGCAGCAGGTCAAGCGGAGCATGGCTCCTGGTTGGTTCCTCGAACATTTGCACCAAGAAGTTTTCTCCAACACTCTCCAAAAGCTTCCTGCATTTGCTATGCATTGTTACATTGCTCTCTCAGTGGATGTTAGAGTGATCAAAGTCATCCTCCCCATCCCCCATGAGGACCAGGGCCTGTGATCTGGAAACTTCTTTTAGTTGTCCGAAGAAAGCCTTGTCTACCTCAGCTTTCTCATCTGGTGGTCTATAGCTGACACCCACCATGACATCACCCTTGTTGCTCCTGCCTATAAACTTAACCCAAAAACTCTCAACAGGCTTTTGCTTAGTTTCATACTGGAGCTCTGAGCAGTTATACTGCTCTCATACATACACTGCAATTCCTCCACCTTTTCTCCCCCATCTGTCCTTCCTGAATAGTTTATGTCCATCCATGACAGTGCTCTAGTCATGTGCATTACCCCACCAAGTCTCTGTTATTCTAATGACATTATAATTCCTTGATTGTGCCAGGACTTCCATTTCTTTCTGTTTGTTTCCCAGAAAGACATTCGTGTACAGGCACCTATGATAACTAGCTGATTGCCTTATTTTCTTAGTATGAATCAGGAGGCCTTCTCTGCTAAACCCTCTTCCTTGTATTTCCTTCCAGTATCCCATATCTCCACTTACCTCAGAGGTTAGGTCACCAGCACCCAGTGAACTTAGTGTAAAGCTCTCCTCACTAGGGGTATGTTTACACTACAGTGCTAATTCGAACTAACTTAGTTCGAATTAGTTAATTCGAACTAACGCATCTAGAACTAAAAACTAGTTCGAATTAGCGTTTTGCTAATTCGAACTAGCGCGTCCACACTGATTGGATGCAGGGGGGCATTTAAGGGCAGCTGAAACCGGTTCTGGCAGGGCATCAGGTCAGTAGTTGCATTGTGTGGCTGCTGTCTGAGGCTATCTGAGGCTCGTGCTTAAAGGGACCCCCCCCTGGACAGCCGGTTCGCAGCTTTTCCTGCTTGCTTGCCAACCTCGCCGAGTAGGACTGCTGCAAGTCCTTAATTTTATAGCGCACCTGCTCCCGGCTGCGCTGGTGGCCCCTGGCAGCCAGGCTGGAAGCCATGTGGCCGCGCA